GTTTTATTTTATTTTTATTTATTTTTTATTTACTCTGTATCCTAGCTGTAGCCCTCTCCCTCATTCCCTACCAATCTCACCCTCCCTCATCTCTTCCCATGCCCCTCTCCCAGTCCACTGATAAGGGAGGTCCTCCTCACCTTCCATCTGACCCTAGCCTATTAAGTCTCATCAGGACTGGCTGAAATATCCTCTTTTGTGGCCTGGCAAGGTTGTTCCCCGCTCAGGGGGAGGTGATCAAGAGCTAGCCACTGAGTTCATGTCAGAGACAGCCCCTGTTCCCCTTACTAGGGAATCCACTTGGACATTGAGCTGCCATGGGCTACATCTGAGCAGGGTTCTAGGTTATATCCATGAATGGTCCTTGGTTGGAGAATCAGTCTCAGAAAAGACCCTTATGCCCAGATTTTTTGGTTCTATTGCTCTCCTTGTGGAGTTTCTGTCCCCTCCAGGTCTTTCATCTTCCCCTTCTTTCATAGGATTCCTTGCACTCTGCCCAAAGTTTGGCTATGAGTCTCAGTATCGGCTTTAATACCTTGCAGGGTAAAGTCTTTCAGAGGCCCTCTGTGGTAGGCTCCTGTCCTGTTCCCTGTTTTCTCCCTCTTCCGATGTCCATCCTGTTTTCTTTGAGTGAGGATTTATCATCTTACCCACGGTCCTCCTTCTTGCTTAGCTTCTTTAAGTGTACAGATTTTAGTATGTTTATCCTATATTATATGTCTAATATCCACTTATAAGTGAGTATATACCATGTGTGTCTTTCTGCTTCTGGGATACCTCATTCAGGATGATCTTTTCTAGTTCCCACTATTTGCCTGCAAATTTCATGGTTTCCTTGTTTTTTATTGCTGAGTAATATTCCATTGTGTAAATGTACCACAATTTCTGTGTCCATTCCTCAGTTGAGGGGCATCTGGGTTGTTTCCAGGTTCTGGCTACTACAAATAAAGCTGCTATGAACATGATTGAGCAAATGTCCTTGCTGTGTACTTGAGCATATTTTGGATATATGCCTAGGAGTTTTATAGCTGGATCTTGAGGAAGCACTATTCCTAATTGTCTGAGAAAACACCAGATTGATTTCCAAAGTGGTTGTACAAGGTTACATTCCCTCCAGCAGTGGAGGACAGTTCCCCTTTCTCCACATCCTCTCCAGCATGTGTTGTCACTTGAGTTTTTGATCTTAGCTTTTCTGATGGGTGTAAGGTGAAATCTCAGGATCATTTTAATTTGCATTTCTCTGATGACTAAGGACATTGAGCATTTCTTTAAGTGTTTCTCTGCCATTCAATATTCCTCTGTTGAGAATTGTCTGTTTAGCTCTGTATCCCATTTTTTAATTGGATTATTTGATTTGTTGTTGTTTAACTTGAGTTCTTTATATATTCTAGATATGAGTCCTCTGTCAGATATAGGGTTGGTGAAGATTCTTTCCCGATCTGTAGGCAGTCGTTTATCCTGACGACAGTGTCCTTTGCTTTTCAGAAGCTTTTCAGTTTCATGAGGTCACATTTATTGATTGTTGATCTTAGAGCCTGTGCTGTTGGTGTTCTGTTCAGGAAGTTGTCTCCTGTGCCAATGAGGTCAAGGCTCTTCCCCACTTTTTCTTCTAACAGATTTAATGTGTCTGGTTTTATGTTGAGGTCTTTGATCCACTTGGACTTCAGTTTTGTGCAGGGTGATAAGTATAGATCTATTTGCATTTTTCTACATGTAGATATCCAGTTAAACCAGCACTATTTATTGAAGATGCTTTTTTCCACTGTATGATTTTGGCATCTTTGTCAAAAGTCAGGTGTCCATAAGTGTGTGAGCTTATTTCTGGGTCTTCTATTTGGTTCCTTTGATCCACCATTCTGTTTCTATGCCAGTACCATGCAGTTTTTATTACTATTGCTCTATAGTACAGCTTAAGATCAGGGATGGAGATACCTCCAGAAGATCTTTTGTTGTAGAGGATTGTTTTAGCTAGAGAATGGAAATTTTTAACATTCCATTTAAACAGAGGCTGATCAGCTGGCCTCTCTCTGTAACTGGGATGGCAGCCACGACTCCACGGGAAGCTGACATGGAGGCCCTGAAAAGCACAGGGCTTTTTGGGGAGCTCTCCCTACCTGATGGTTCCTTTTCTAAGCTTGGGACAGGAACTGGTCCACTGGGGCCTCACACAGTGTCTGCGCCCTAAGTATTGTTTTATGGATGAGAAGACTGGTCAGAGAGAGGCTGAGTTCATTCAGTGAGCAAGTAGAGAAGTTGGTGTTCAGAAATGAGCAGTGTTACAAGGAGAGCCCAGGGCAGCCAAGGCTACACAGAGAAACTCTGTCTCAGAAAACCAAAAACCAAAAAAAAAAAAAAAAAATGAAATGAAACGAAACAAAACAAGCAGTGCCCATATTGGTTTCTGTAATCCAGTATAAGCAATCAAGGCTAGCTTTGACAACCTGGTGAGCGGCCTCCTCAAGCTCACACCAAACCAGGAGGGAGATTATATCACACATCC